TAAACCGTAGAGGTATGGAACCTTCACCAATGTCTTCGACTAATTGAGGGGACTCTTCAATCTTTTCATTGCAAAAGTATTCGTCGACCCCTTTTATGAGTTATTGCCCCTGAAAGTTTTTGACGTTTACGAATAATTAAAAATTTTCAAAACGATAAGTTGTAGAGACATGGGACCAACTGCATAAGATTCATTGACCTTTGACCTTAAAATATATGCAAAGGTCAAAGGTCAAGATCATTCAAAATATGAGAAATTAAGCTCTTTTTATAGCTCTTTTGTCTTTCAACATATCCTAAATATCTTTGCATCATTAATATGTCCTCTTAATACTATTTCAAAGATTTCATACTTGTCCCCTAAGATTTACCCCTTTGAAAGTTATTGCCCCTTTTACTGAAAACCTTGTTATCGCTACTCCGACGAAACCATAAACCGTAGAGACACAAAACCTTCACTAATGTCTTCAGAGTCTTTAGACACAACTTCAATCTATTCAGTGCGAAAGTATCTGATGACCCCTTATATGAGTTATAGCCCTTTAACATCTTTGTGCTTACTATTAAACCTTATAACTTTAAAACTAAAAGTTGTAGAAGCATGGGGTCAAGTGCAATGTGACCCCTGACCTTTGACCTTGAATATTTTTCAAGGTCAAAGGTTAAGGTCATTTCAAAATTTTCATTTTTTCTATCTTTCAAGCCATTTATGGATTCTTTTTGTATAAAAAATAACTTTAGAGAGTAAAATATGAAAAATATATGAAATTCAAAGAAGGTGGAAAGACCTCTAATTGTTCGAGAACAATTAGTCTACTAGTTATTATTATTATTATTATTTTTATTTTTCCGCCGAATGGTTTTTTGTTTTAAAAGTTATCGAAAAGATTTTATGGTCCATAAGAATGCACTTCGTAAAAGATTTTTACAGTTGACCATGCGTATATGAACTTTGACCCCTCAAGGAGTTACAAACCCTTTCGCAATAAAAGCTTGTTATCGCTACTCCTTTGAAACCCTAAACCGTAGAGATACGAAACCTTCACTAATGTCTTTGACTAATTTAGTAGACTCTTCAATCTATTCAGTGCGAAAGGTTGCATAAACCCCTTTAATTAGTTATTGCCCCTGAAAGTTTTTGATGGTTACGAATAATTAATTTTTTCTAAACGCTTAATCGTAGAGACATGGGACCAATAGCATTGGCATGTGTGACCTTTGACCTTGAAATTTATATAGAGGTCAAAGGTCAAGGTCATTCAAAATATGAGAAAATTAGCTTTTTTAATATCTCTTTTGTCTTTCAACATATACTGAATATCTTTGCATCTGTAATATGTCCTTCTAAAACTATTTCAAAGATTTCATTCTTGTCCCCCGAGCTTGGCCCATTCAAAAGTTGTCACCCCTTTTGCAACAAAACCTTGTTATCGCTACTCCTCCGAAACCGTAAACCGTAGAGATTCCAAACCTTCATCAGTGTCTTCGACTCATTTAGTACTCTCTTCATTCTATCATTGCGAAAGCATTCTTTGGTCCCTTGTATGAGTTACTGCCCCTGAAAGTTTATGCTGCTTACATTTAATGAACTTTTTTTTAAAACGGTGTATCGTAGAGACATGGGATCAACTGCATGGGCATGTTCGACCTTTGACCTTGAAATATAGGTTAAGGTCAAAGGTCAAGGTCATTTAAAAACATAAGAAATTCCATATATATGTGTAAAATATGGCAATTTACCAAATGACCTTGAACTTTGACCTTGACCTTTCACCTTGACCTTGGGTCAAATGGAAAAGTAAGGACATGCATTCAGCTCCAGTATCAGGTAAAAACATAGAAAAGTAAAGATTTCTCTTCTTTTTTTTTTTAATGACCTTGACCTTTGACCTTGACCCAAGGTCACAATCAGGCTTAAGGATGTGGAAGTAGTTACAATTCTTAGTTTAAAAGAGGCATAAAATAAATAATTACCCCCCCCTTCTTAAAAAAAAAAAATCACATCAACAACAATGTAGAATATTTCTGTCAAATTCAAACCAGACCTCGGATCGACACCATATTTGGTACAATTGTAGTATAGACCTCAGAGAAAGTTTCTGGAGAGTTTTACGGTGAGTCCTATAAGTTTATAGAAGTCTTGAAGTTTCACGGCAAAAACTACAAGTTCTGTTGTGTTTGTAATTAAAGTGCAGGTGAACGAAGAAATGATCTAAACCTTTTATCGGCTATTTCTTCAGATGTCGTTAGCAGCATTCGATTCTCCTGATATGATACGACGTTTTAATACCAAGCATTCTCTCTTTCTTTTACATTTGGAATTTATTTGATTTTTCTTTAGAATTAATCAGTTTCCAGAAATAGCGATTTTTGGTAGATTAAAAACAATTCTCGCTTTCATTGTCGTCTTTCCCTTCTAAAAATGCATGTTGGGAGTTTAATTTGTGATACACATATTTAATTTAACCCAAAGAAATGCTTATTTAAATGTTTTGTAGTTATTTCAGGATATTCAGTCAGAAATGTTAAAATCCGAACCCGATCTTTTAAGCTTACAACAAAGCTATTTACAAAAAATTCAGCATGCTCACAATATCGATGAATCGGGCTACAGTCCATTAATACATTTTCATTAGGAAACAGTGTTAATGTTTTCTTACGCAGCCCGTCCCTTATTATTTAATATACTGCTTGCAAATTCAGGAACTATTTCCTTTTACGGAACTTCTTTCTTCCCCTACCGATTCTAAAAATACGCTTGCAATTATTCTATAGTCCTAAACATTTTAACATACTATTGTTATTGGAGTGTGTGGCCTAATGGTTAGCGCACCTGCCTTTCAAACTAAGGGTTTTGAGTTCGATCCCAGCTGGAGGAGGTTTTTTTTTTTTTTTATTTTTTTTTTTTATTTTTTTTTTATTTTTTTTTTTTATTGCATTTTTCTTCATTTTTTTTCAGCCCAAATGACACGGAAACACTTAAAAAGGTGGAAAGACCTCTAATTGTTCTCTGAACAATTAGTTTACTAGTTAAGAATTGATTTTGGTGAATGCAAGAAAGTTTTATACACTCCATCAGAATAGACTAATAAAAATGCACAGAGACGTTAATTATAAAGCACTTGGAAGCCAGTATTAATTATGCATCAAGTGATGAATACTAATTAGAGCTGTCTGCAGAAACTTGACTATATAGGGGGTTGATCCTCATCAAAGATAATATTCTCTGGGGAAAGGTGAAACAATATAGTGGAAATTATTCATAAATTTTGGTCAAATTATTCTGTGTTTAAAACCACTGTTGATGGATAAGGGTAATAATGATAAAACTAAAAATTTGACTTCTTGCATTTGAAGAAAATGGAGAAAAACAAATGATTCAGTATATGGTGCATTATTATTGGTTTGTAAGATAGGCCTCCATTTTTAATAAGTCACTTTGCTCTAGGGGGAGTATTAATACCAGGAATTAACAGTGGAAGATTGAGAGAGATGCTAGGGTTAGGAAAGGTCAAGGACCTGTGAAAGGAAGTCGGACTATAGAAACCCAGCGTTGAAATAAAGCATGCAAAGGTCCTTTTGTAATTTTAGTTGAATTGTAAATAATATTCTTCATATTTTATGAGTAGCATTTTAACCAACCCTTTTAGATGTAAGAAAGGAGCTTTTGATCTTCATAAATCATTTTTGGATGTATTTAAGGCAATGCATCAAGATGTGTGGACTCTGCATGTCCACATGTCCTCTCCTCAGCATTTTTATGTGACACAATAACCAGATTACTTTGCAATCTGACTTCAGATTCACTTGTACATAGGGTCTCCCGCGTGGCACAGTGGTTAGAACATTTGCTGTAGAGTTGCGGAGTAAGGAGTTGATCCTTACATCATGGGTTGGAATCCCACTGCAGGACCTGGAGACCAGTCCTTCAGATGAGACCAAATAAATTCAGATCCTGTGTCGAAGTAGGTGCTGACACGAAAAAGATTTCTCAGTGCTCGAACGCCAAAAGAGCTGAGCATAGGTCTAAATTTGCAGCCCTCCATCAGCAAGTGGTGGCATCTCAATATAAGTGAAAAATTCTTGAAGGGATGTGAAACAAACCAACAAAACTCTTATACAAAGATGATTGATGATGGCAAGTGGAAAACTTTACAGCTTTTGGGGACCCCTAAAAATGCCAAGGTCAAAAGTTATTGTAACTGCTGTGATAATTGTTAGCTCACCTGACCACAGGCTCGTGATCTTTTCTGATCAAAATTTGTCTGTCTGTTGTTGTAGTAAACTTTTGAAGTTTTTGCCTTCTTCTCCAGAACTACAGGACCAACTTCAACCAAAATTTGCACAGAGTATCCTTGAGTGAAGGGGTTTTAAATTATTCAAATAAAGGACCACATGCTCTTCCAAAGGGAGATAATTAAGAAATGGTGAAAATTGGTGGGGTCATTTAAATGTCTTCTTCTTGAAAACAAGGCCAGAAATGATGAAACTTATGTGAAAGCCTCATGACATACTTTAGATTGAAAATTGTTCAAATCATGACCAATGGGGTAGGGTGGGGACACAATGGGCAAAGTTTACACAAGAATATATAGGAAAATCTTTAAAACTATTCTTAAGAATAGCAAAGCCATGATCAGTCATATTAATAAGGAAGCATCCTCAGATAGTGTAGATTCAACTTAGCTCAAATCATGACCCTCTGGGGAAGGGTAGGGCCACAATGTGTGATTAAAATGTTACACAGGAATATAAAGGGAAAATTGCTGATGAAGAACAGAAGTGACTCAGGGAAGCATTGTGGCCCATGGGCTTCTTGTGTTTATATGGTGTAATAATTCACAATGGGTAATCAAAGTGTTGATAGGAATATATATATATATATATAAGGAAAAAATATCTGCTGATGTGGAACAGAAGTGACTCGGGGGAGCATTGTGGCCAATGAGCTTTTTTGTTTACATGGTGTAATAATTCACACATTTTTTTTTTAATTTACAGAGACTAACTGTGCTTTATATAGGCTAGGATAGCTTGACATGGAGACAAAGATTGTTGGGTCACTGATCAAAGGTCAAGGTAAGGGATCAAGCTTATTGAAATGAACTGCAATGATTTTTAGCTCACCTGAGCTGAAAGCTCAAGTGAGCTTTTCTGATCACCCGTTGTCCATCGTCCGTCCAGCTGTCCGTCCGTCCGTCCGTCTGTCTGTCCGTCTGTAAACTTCTCACATTTTCAACTTCTTCTCAAGAACCACTGGGCCAATTTTAACCAAACTTGGCACAAAGTATCCTTGGGTGAAGGGGAGTGTAAATTGTTAAAATAAAGGGCCAAGTCCCCTTACAAGGGGAGATAATCAAGAAAAGACAAAAATAGGGTGGGGTCATTAAAAAATCTTCTTCTCAAGAACCACTGGGCCAGAAAAGCTGAAACTTATGTGGAAGCATCCTGGGATAGTGTAGATTTTAAATTGTTAAAATCATGAGCCCCGGGGGTAGGACGGGGCCACAATAGGGAATCCCAGTTTTACGTTGAAATACATAAGAAAAATCTTTAAAAATCTTCTTCTCAAGAACCACTGGGCCAGAAAAGCTGAAACTTATGTGGAAGCATCCTGGGGTAGTGTAGAATCTAAATTGTTCAAATCATGACCCCCGGGGGTAGGGCGGGGCCACAATAGGGAATCCAAGTTTTACATTGAAATATATAGGAAAAATCTTAAAAAATCTTCTTCTCAAGAACCACTGGGCCAGAAATACTGAAACTTAAATGGAAGCATCCTGGGGTAGTGTAGAATCTAAATTGTTCAAATTTTGTTCCCCGGGGGTAGGGCGGGGCCACAGTAGGGAATCCAAGTTTTACATTGAAATATATAGGAAAAATCTTAAAAAATCTTCTTCTCAAGAACCACTGGGCCAGAAAAGCTGAAACTTTTATGGAAGCATCCTGGGGTAGTGTAGATTCTAAATTGTTCAAATCTTGACCCCTGGGGGTAGGGCGGGACACAATAGGGAATCCAAGTTTTACATTGAAATATAAAAGAAAAATCTTTAAAAATCTTCTTCTCAAGAACCACTGGACCAATAAAGCTGAGACATATTTGGAAGGATCCTGAGGTAGTGTAGATTCTAAATTGTTCAAATTTTGTTCCCCGGGGGTAGGGCGGGGCCACAATAGGTATATTAAAAGGGGGGAAATCTGGTAAAGAACAGCATGGCCAAAGTTACTCAGGTGAGCGATGTGGCCCATGGGCCTCTTGTTTTTTATTATAATTCAATAATGTGAAAATATTTTAGGGTCCACTTAATGAGCTCAATGTGAATCAGGTTATCTGTCTGTCCGTGCGTTGGTGTGTATATATCCATCTTGACATTTTTTGCTCTTTCAGTCAAAGGTCAACTTCAAAACTGTGTTTTTCTCAAATGCACTTTTTGCGATACGTTCACATGCACTCTCAAACTGTACATAAATCAGTATGGCTTTCTAGTTGCTCTTCAACTCATTGTTCCTCCATGCACTAGGAAGAACATTACCATTTCTTGTTTAAATGCTACTTAAATTATTATTAGACTTACTAATACAACAGATGGTCATTGTTCTTTCTCATATAAAGAGATGCATTTTTTAATGAATCAATGATGCTATATTTTATAGACAATTTCAATATATCTATCCTTGTGTAAGATTTGAATACATGTTCACATGATGACTGAAAATACACCAGGAGTAAATTTACCCCTATGTAAAAGTTAATAGATGGTTTTCCTATGACGTATTTTTCCTCGGAGTTATTCCCCTTGGCCGCCATCTTGTAGGTCAAAGTGGTGAATTTTCCTCTTTGAGCAACCAGTTTTAAAAATGCATGCCAAAAATATATGGTAAAAAATATTTACAATATTGAAATTATGAATTAAAAGAAGCTTTAACAAACGTATATTCATAAGAAAAATAGTGTTATCTTCACCTCAGTGCCCAGTATAACAAATTGAACTTGGTTGAATAATGAAGGGATCTGGGGATGTTGACCTACATTATGGCGGCCATGGGAAATAACTCTTGCTTAAATCACCTTGATGGAAAACCATCTATTTGCACCTAGTCTGACTAGATGTAAATTTTGCACAAAGTAAAAATACATACAAACACCCCCCACCCCCACCCCCACTCCCTATTCACATGCACTAAAATACACTCAGGTGCAGAATTTGCTAATATGCACAATTTGCACACCCTGTGTAAACAGACACATGTGAACCATGGGTTATGAGGCCTTGTGTGTCTGTCAGTTTTCTAGTTTGTATAAAGTTAATGTAAGACGTAATTGCACAATATTTTATAAATCTATGACTCATTAAATGGAGTTAAAAACTGCAATGATAATGCACTTGATTTTACAAATATTCCACCATACTGTTCTCAGAAGTATGTGCCTCTTCAGTTCATTGTGGTTTTCTTGATAGCTTTAGCCATCAGATAACACAGTATTGAACACTTGTGATACTTTGAAAGGAGATAATGTTTCATGAAGTAAATCTGCCGCAGATCATATACATGGATTGGAAATTGGACTTTCCAGCACATAAATCGGAAAAAGCATTATTTTAACTGATTAGGTGTTTTATTGATTTCAAATACTACTGAGAAAAACAATTTTGATGACTTTTACCTTTGGCAATGTGTTTGATGACTTCTACCTTTGGCAGTGTGTTTATTTTGTTTTTCTAATGTAAATGGATCTCCTCGTGTGAATTTTCATTAAATCATATTAATTATTCATTAGTTTCATTCCATCCTTCCAAGTTGATATAACTGATTGCTGTACATCAAAGTTCAGTGCTTTTTAGCACAGGACAGGTTATATTCAGGCCTGTAATGTTGTTGGGTTACAATTAATATTTATTTTTTTATGAGAGGAGGGAGCTTCTATTCATGGCCCATAAATCTGAAAATAAAATGGGATGATTGGAGTGATAAAAAAAGAATAAAGAATTACAGTTCAACTAACACATGTTGAGTATCCTGATAATGTTTTAGACATTTATTTACTGCTTTAATTATTGTCTTCAAATTTTTGGATTTGCACAAAAGGCACCTTATTCTTACTTTCTTCACAAGAAAAAAAGAACAAATAATGGAAAATGATCACTTACATTCATTGCAAAACACTTCAGAACTTAATTTTGAAGACATATTTAGAGATATGTATACATAGTTCTACAGCTGAAATTGTAAAGCTTTACTAAATCCAAAGGTTAATCAAGTCACAGAACAGTGTGGGGGCATTTGAAAAATTCTGATATTTGTTAAAATTATCAGCCATTTCTCAGCTGTTTATGTTTTTTATACCACTAAAAAGATCTTGAAAATGTATTTACATTAGGACATCTTTTTTAGCATATTTATTTAATGTTTATGACAACCAAAAAATGATTTGACAGTCGACTTGTGTGCATGGAAATAGGATGCAATAAGCCAGTTTAGGAGGAAGGGTTGGTGTCCTCTTACACTGAAGAGTGCAGTGGGCTTTTTTATACTGGCCACACAGGCTTCTATGCATCTGCTACTTACAAATCACCCAGAGGAGGCAATAGAATTTGACAGAATTAAAGCTCTTGTCATTTTCTAGATTACTTGAGTGTTACCAAATGGACCTTGTAAAATGAGGATTCTTGTAGAACTGCATTACTGGCCTGATCATTAGCTGGGGCTTGTTAAAGAATACATTCTACACAATTTCATTAGGACTTGTCATTGTGTTCCTTCGGTAAATATATCACAGTTTGGCAGATAACAATTTTGTCATGGTCAATAAAGATTTTGACATTGCCAGGCGTCCATTACTTAATTGTGCGTCAGCTTTGCATTCTTTTCTCAGGATACATGGTTCTAAGCTATTCCACTTCTAGATGCAGTTTTGATGAACAGTCAAGTAATTAGTCTAGGGATCATTATTTTTGTAATTTGATGTATGTATATAGACATAAGTAGGCATTTTGTTAAATTGGGGTAGGGATATATATGAACAACCCCACCCCCACCCCCCAAAAACATACAATTTGAATGCACTTTCAAGATTCACTTGTATGCAAAAGAGAATCTTGTCTTCATCCATAACATGTCATGTTCTTTTGAGAATTCAGCTGTTTTATAGCCTAACTAATAGCATTGAGTTGATTAGTGTAATTCTGTTATGTAGAGTGAAATTAATGGACAGCCATTCCAGTTAACACAGATTTTGATTTAAATTTTCAATCAAAATCATGTTCCCACCATGAGAACTACAGTTCTGGATGGTGAACAGATGAAAGGGAATATCCTTTAACAAGATTACTCTGGTGTTGCAAAACAGATTCAACTGACCAAAACCATACTTGATCCAATAAAGTCCAGGAAAAGCCTGTGCTTGTGTCCAGATATTGAATTATGTGTCTTTTAACACGAAGATAGGGCCTAGTGAAACGTAATTACACAGCAATAACCTATGGGGGTGATAACCACATGAGCTTTGAACTGTAGAATCCTTTCTTGTCCATGGTACTACTAGGTCAAGTAACAGAGGACGTCAGCCATATTTCTTATCAAGTCGGTCAACTGCACAGATTCTGAAAAAAAAAATGCTATTTGTCTGTTTTTCATTTCCTGAAGATTTTTGGAAGAGGTGGGGGGGGGGGGGGGATTAATGATGCTGAATACTGTTATTGCATTTATACTTCGAAACATTTATCTTATGACTATGAAGTATTGCATGATAGTCCTTGTAGAAAGTAGTTTTCTGCTTTCTTGTTTTTCTTTGAAATGATGATATGGTCTCCATTGTTGCATTATAAAGTTTCCATAAACTTGTAATTAGAATAATTTGTGAGTACAAGGTGTGTGTTATGGTCCCCCCTTCTCCATCCCCCATTAGTTCTTAAACTTGAGAAAAGTATGACTTCAGTTTTTGAAAAATTGAGAAAATAGGATTCTATAGATACATGAAGACTCATCCTCTCTGATAGGAGCTTGGGGTAGACCTTAATTCCTAGAGAGCTTCCAAGTACAATATCTGTGGTCAGGGATCTAACATGGATATTTCTTTG